TGCCGAGCAAATTGCCAACATTGAAAAACGCCCCCCCCCCAATATAAAGCTGGCTACGGGCCTGTACACATACAACCGCATATATTCACCCGCATATATGTCTTATTCAGAAAGCTAGTAGAATGACTCGTGTTTTTAAAAGGTTTCATTTTACAGTATATAATTTCATGTGTTGAATTTAGAAAAGCAAAGCGGTACGTGGTGTGCCGTTACGATGTAGCTCAATGAAACGTTCATGTATATTACATGGATGTGTAGTCTCACAGCCACTCTCGGGTTAGCTCAGGCCGAGAAATAATTCGATGTAATGTGGAAAAGCATGGCAATATAATTATTAAGGATTTATGTAATCGCAATGTTCCAGCAGGTTTTCCGTAAATATGTTGGCGGATCCAGAGGACGATGATACAGTCAATTCACAGTGCATTATTGCTGTGGGTGTGTGTCTACTGTGGTCTACTGTTTGCATATGAATTCTCCGCAATATAACCTGCCGACGTGTTTCTTTATCGCGGCTGTAGCCGTCTCCCGAATACCCGTGTGCATTAACGGGTTGGGAGAGATTTGCCAAGGATTTCGTTGATTGGTGCCACAGCCCCATGAATAGTTGTTGTTGTTTTTATTGATCGAGTGGACAGACCGTTACCTAGTGTGATGTTGCCGCCTATGAGGGACGTTTGTATTCGTTGGATTCGTGGTATGGAACCTATCGCCATGTATTGCCTCAGTGGCTTGTTAGTATTGCGTGATCAGTATGCCGGTGTGAGTTTAGAGACCTGACTTGGATCCACACGGTCAGTGGATATGTAATGTTGTCACTAGAGCGTTCCTAGACCATATACAATAGTTGCTCAGATTGATTTCACATGTCATGTCATGTCATATGTTATGTCATTGTTATAGATTATTTTAACCGATATTCCTATTCCAGTTAGCTTGAACCGGAATGAGTCTATTTATGTTATGTATCTAGAAGTTGTGCTAGATACAAAGAACGGTACAGTCAAACCTCGCGTTACGTATGTAATGCGTTCCAAAAAAAACCGTAACGCGAAAATGTAAATCACGTTTTTCTATTGACAGCTATTATATAATTGGAAATACGTTTCTACGCAAAAATTATTCAGCTAAAAGATTTATAACAGGAAACCTACGCGTGCAAGTAAACATTTTAAAGGCATATAATGACTATTAAATTATGTAACACAATATCGTAATGATATTAGTAGGGAAATCTATATTTGACTATATAGGGGGTATTGACAGCTATTATATAATTGGAAATACGTTTCTACGCAAAAACTATTTAGCTAAAAGTCATATAAAGGGAAACCTATACGCGTGCAAGTAAAAATTTTAAAATATATGTAATAAAATAAAATAAAATAAATAAAATAAAAGCATATAATGACTATTTAATTACTGTTCATGTCTCATTAGCCAGTTTGGTTGCGGGTGCCTGATTCTGTAATCAGTCTACTACCGTCCGCGTCCAGTATAGGCCTACTCTAGGTGCATGTTACTAAGAGCAATTATTCGCAACGATTTTAGCTGCTCGCAGAAAGCTTACAATGAAAAGATCCGCAGTAAACTGCAACCAACTTTGTAGGCCCTAACATTTTTGCCTCCAGATCAGAGCATGAAACACATTGGCCTAAACACGACACTAATACTGATGACGAACGCGACCTAGTTGGCAGGGGTGGACCCAGAGGGAGTCAGAAGATCACGGCTTCCCCACCGAGGCGGCGTATATCTTTAGTTCAGTGATTTAGCTAGTGGGTTGGTTCTATGCAGTGTTTCCCGTGCATAGATACGAGCGAGGCGGGCCGCCTCGCTCAAATTCTCAGCCTCTACACAGAAATTTGTCCAAAACACCATCTCGCTGACGAAAATCACGGTTCTTCCATAGAACAGTGCTTATAATGCACCAAATTGCAGCATTTTTTCAAACAATTTTCCGATGCGGTGCTCGCTTTGCTAGGACCTCGAAACGCGCAAACACACACAAAAAACCACCTCACAGTCCTTTTTGGCACTGCTGTAGATCAGGGTAGTAACCAGACTTAGGTCATCAACGAGGTGTGTCGGTTTGCGATGAATGCCTTGCTTCACTTACCGCTGGCGTTTAGAATGGAGTTTCAAGGTTCTTACTAAAATTGCTAGATTCTCGGTCATAATCTGAGCAACCCAAATTTAACAAATTGAGATATCTGTAGATGACTTAGATATTTGATAATTTAATGTGGATCGTGGAATCGACCAGTGTGCTTGATATACTTGTGGCCCTGCGTTAATACAGTAGTTACTACTATACTACTACACGCTACTACTCTCAGTACTGTATGTACTTACTGTACTGTACTGTATCTACTGACTGTGATGTCCAGCCCTAGTGTTTACGTTTGGTATCGGTGCAGACTCTATGTGTGCAATGTGACGCATGCGCGAGCGGACATCCGGTAATAAGAAATAAAAAGTAGCAGCGGGAATGATTAGACAGAAACGAGGTTTTATAATCTTCGGAGTTCAATTATGGTTTGATATCATCGATCAACAAACAATAAGAACATTACACTGACTATACCGTACTGTACTGTACTGTATGTACAGTACCACTACAATTAGTGTGATTAGCGAGATTTATTATTTTCATAGTGACACTGTGACATGATTAATCTGTTGCATTCAATTATACAATTATTCATTACCTTCGCCAGGGGCTTGGCGGAGGTTATGTTTTCACTGGCGTGTCTTTGAGTGTTGGTTTGTGTGTTTGTGTGTTATCATGCACGTTTCAGTTTACTTCCGCTAGGTGCGCTGGCTGTAGACTTACAAACACGCAACCACAGGCTAAGGG